AAAACGAGGAGGTGTTTGGTCGCTTCTCTGCTTGGATCCTAATGAATAAACTGGGCTAAGTTAAGTGCTATCAAAGTGTCTCGCGCGCCAGAGCGATTGAGTGCACGCACTGAGACGAGAGAGGTATGTATCAACTCGTCTTAGTTAAGGGAATAACATAGTTTAATATGAAAAAAACGGTGGAGTATCCCTTTAATCCTCGTTTTTAACTTTGGAATCTCTGTAGACACCTGGCGTCTTCCAAAGTCTCATAGCTTTTTAATCATTTTCTGTGTGTTCCAGGTATCCAGCAAAATGACAAAACCGCTGATATTTTCTCGTAGTCCCTTTGTGCCTTGGCAGACTTTGCAACCTCAAACAAACAATAATCAGGGTCTCATGAGAGGGATTTTAACGGATTGGACACAGAGATCAACCCAGGCCTAACTGGAAGAGATTGAATGAGAAAAAGCGAGTGTGTTTCCTTGCAACACACCCCATGGATCCCAAGAACCTGACGTGACCCGTACCGCATCTCATTTGTGTGAACGTATGCGCCTTTGAGCCTGTGGACAGACGCGGTGGGAACGGGAGGGCACTAGGACCTGGTGATGCGAGGAGGGTTGCCTGCCTGCCTGCATCCCTGTCTCCTCTCCATTCTGTTCTGCAGTTGCCCTGTGCGTGTGTGTGGGAGAGCACATGTTTATGTGTGTTTGTGTGGATGTGTGTGTGTCAGAAGAGGGGCAAGAGTGGGTTTCGCACGGCGCCGCCTAAAGAGACGGCGCTTTTTGTTATCTTTCTGTCTTCTCAGAAGCGTGAACATCAGCCTGACCACCTGGATCAGCCGCCTGCCTGAAGCATCGCTGACGGGGGAGGGGGCGATCTCTCTCTCTCTCTCTCTCTCTCTCTCTCTCTCTCTCTCTCTCTCTCTCTCTCTCTCTCTCTCTCTCTCTCTCTCTCTCTCTATCTCTATCTCTATCTCTCTCTCTCTCTCTGTTTGTGTGAATGTGTGTGTGTGTGTACATGCGTGTGGGTGGGTGAAAGGGTGAGGGGCGGAGAGATGAAAGGGCCAGGTGAGGAGGGGTGTTGGGTACCTCTCTCTCTAGCTTTCTCGCTCTCTCTCTCCCCTCTTTTTATCTCTCTCTCACTGTCGTGCGACACTAACCCTGGAAGCTGAAGAGGAGATCCTTGCTGCTGGACCTCTCCACTACAGGTACGTTCTCCTCATCTACATCATGTGGAGCCACGGTTCCTTTTGCTCTGCACCTCCACACCAACGCCTGTGTAAACTTGTGCATCGTGGATGAAATGCATATGTTTTAGTATTTCCAGACGGACAAGTTGGAAATGTTTTTTAAGATCTCAGTCTTGCAGTTAGACTTTTCTCAGGTCTTGCTTTGTAGGCTTTAGGCTCCATCACCAGGCTTGTATTCATGTTTGCTTCCTTTCGTAGGAATCTAAACCAGCGGTGGCCTTGAATGATGGTATTGACATACATGACATATGTGTAATGTAGCACTGAATCGGCTCACCTCGGGGGATTATGGGAACTGTTTGGTAGCAGACAATAAACTCTGCACTCATGGGTGTGATAGTGGATTATTTAGGTGAAGACAGCAAACATCATGTTTATAAGTTGTAAAGTGCCAGCAATGGTCACCCTGAGGGGGAAAGAAGAAGAAGGGAGGGGGAAAACACAAGGTTTCTGAACAACAGAGCTAGTTTTCATCGCAGTAAGTACTAAGTCATGTGCATATTACGGGGTCATATGTTTCTCAGTTGGCAGTCGCTGAGATTGTTAGTTGCTCGCTGATTCTTGTCTCACAAAGTGCAGGAGGGTTCACAGAAAGTCGACCATTTTAAAATGCATTTGCGGTTCCTACAGCTTCATCTCGGCCCTGCAGATCATGCATTTAAGTACATGAACGCTAATCTCAATCCTTTCCTATAGAAAGCGCAGGTGCTTTAGGGCTTCATGACCCACACTGTCCTTTTTAAAATCCTTTACACAACCACAACCCTACAAATGTATGAAATACACTAAACACTGAACTGTGTGTTTATGTTTCTCAACATGTGCATGGGCATTAGCATCACTGACTGATGATAGCATAGAAAAGTAATTTTCATGTTGATTATTTACAGTACGCCATGACATGGGTAATGCATATTTAGGTTTTCTAGATAACAGATCTTGACACAGCGGTTGATTATTTCTCTGTACTACTTATTATGGAGCTATAGTGACCGTATAATAAAGGCAAAGCTTGTCAGATAATCTAAAAATATGGTAGTGACATCTAAATTAACTACTTTTATGATTCAAATATGACTAGCTATACCAATGAAAGTGACTTTTTTAAGGGCCACATGTAAAAATGGCTCTTTAAAGGTGAAGTGTGCACCACTACCGCTAACAAAATGGCAAAAGGAATTTATGTTCATGTTAAAAGTGGAGTTTATTTTAGTGTTTTTATTTTACTTTTGTTCAGCAAGGACGCATTAAATTGATCAAAAGGGACAGTAAAGACATGTATGATGTTACAAAATATTTCTATTTGAAATAAAGTTTGCCATCACAGGAATACAGTAAATTAAGTTTTAAAATATATTAAAATAGAAACAAAATATTTTAAATTGTAATGGTATTTCAAAATAGCATTGTTTTTACTGTGTTTTGGATCAAACAATTGCAGCCTTGGTGAGTATACAAGACTTCTTTCAAAAACATTAAAAAATCTTACCGATCCCATACATTTGAATAGTAGTGTAAACATGTTAATGTGACTACAATTATAGTCTGAGCATTGTGCACTTGCTCAGAAGACAGAAATTATGTTTCATGTGTGTTAATCGCTTTGTGTCATGATCAGTATTCTTGGTCAGACAAAGGAAGGCAATAGCTCAACTACTCAAAAATCTGGTGTTCATAAATGTAGTCCATGTTGTGAAAGAGAGACTCATAAATGTTTACATTTTTCAGTGAATCCGGTCTACCAATGGATTATTTGTTTCTGCACATTTAACTGTTAAAGAAGTGTTTTATCAACAAATTACACACTTTATGGTAAAATCGTCCCATATTTTAAAAGTTGTGGATTGCCTAGCACAAAAGAAATCCTGCCCTATAGTATACTAATGATTCTGGCCTAGTTATGTAAACATCACAGGTTTAATCCCAGGAAGTTATCTGGAAAGTTACTGAATTCACCTATCACTATTGTGTCCCTTCATCTCAGGTATATATATATTTTTATGGCATTTGGTGTGGGTGTTTTTTAGTTATTAGTCTGTGGATGACAGTCTGTGGATTAGTGTTGTTTTCACTTAAAGAGTTCATCCAAAAATGAAAGATTTGGCGTTATTTACACACCCTCATGTTGTTCAAACCCTGTATGACTTTTTCTTCTTTGGAACTCAAAGAAGGCATTTTGAAAAATCTCTTAGTATATTTTTTTTAATCTATACTATGAAAGTCAATAGTATAGACAAAAACAGTTGAAACATTCTTCAAGATATTTTCTTTTGTGTTCAACAGAAGAAAGAAAGTCATACAGGTTTGGAACACCAAGGTTTGGTGAGTGAATGATGACAATTTTAATTTCGGGTGAACTATCTTTTTAACTCTAAACACTCTGCTGTTTTGAGTATTAGTATTTTTCTTGGTAGCTTCTTAACTCTAAAGCTCCAAAAAAATTAAAGAAGAAGAGGAGAAGGCTAAAAAGTTATCTCTATAATCATCACAATCAAGCTCATCATAGTCATGTGAATAATCATGCAACTGTAGCTCTAACTGCTTTTTGTCTGGCCAAACCACAGTTGCAATACCTTCCAGGTACAGAATAGCCCCTTCCCTTCACTATACAATCAGTTAACCATGAGATCATTGTGGTCACAAGCCTTGGGCAGAAAACAAAGTCTCTATGCTTACAGAGATGTCCTAAAACAACAGTTTATTACTGAATTAGATATTCTTTTGAGCTCTTGTCATAACACTGACCACATTGTGTCACAAGGGAGAATCTGTGACCTCAGGAAAAAACTGGATGGATTGATGCTGTGGAAAAACAAAGCAGGTCCAGTGTTTTTACAGTAAAATATATCGTAAAGTTGAGAAATGATGCATGTGAGGTATAGTGTGCAAGGTGAGGTTATGACCATAAACACAGAACACATGATTGCAAACAGTTTAAATAAATTGAAAGGGTGTGATTTATGCATGTATGTTTGTGTGAATCAGACATTAAGTACATTTAGTGTTGGGTATAAACAAAAATGTCATTACTGAATTGATTCTGATTCACAAGCTCTTGCTTCAGTTTTGAATTCGATTCAGTTTGATTTGATTCTGATTCATTTGTCCATATTTCAGTTATAATATCCATTTTGCTTACATATGAATGTATGATAAAACAATAACTTGCAAAGGTAACTTATTTTTAATTTTTAGTTACTGCTCTGATGGATTTATCAGACTAATTAAAACAGTAACCCCAATTTGTTATTCTTTTTAAATGATTCATTAAAAGGACCGGCTCTTTAAGAGTCATTTGTTTGTAAATAGAACTAGTTGTGCTGTATGTTTTTTAAATCACTAAATCAAAAGAGTTCATATGTGTCATTGTTTGTGAATTGGATTGTGTTCTCTTTTTGCAGCTCAATAGAAAGACACATTTTCTTGCCATTATTTCACTGTACACATCCTTTTTATCTTACCACATTCAATTCTAACCTCAAACTCGGCTTAAATGCGATTTGTTATGTTGTAGTGACAATATTAGGATTTGAAGAATGCATATCAAGTTGGCTTATTCCTCAAAAGTTGCTTGCTAATTTTATTCTCTCTTTCCACAGTTCCATCATGCCTCATTTAGATTTGTTGGATATTAAGCGCGATGGAGCGCCAGGGACTTAAGAGGTGAATATTTGAAGATGAAACTGGACGTTGCGACACTAATCTGCCCCAACTCCAGAGTCTGACCTCTACCAGCATGCCGTAACGCAGACAGAACCTCATTATTGAACGGTACTGCTGGATCCCACTCTTCAGCAGGGGAGGATGGGTGATAGTCCCATGAAAATCACCTCCGCCCACAATCCTTATTCCATCCTCTCATGGAGCATACAACCACCTACAACGCACTGTGGAACATCACCCACGCCACCTCTTGGCGTCCGAACGCAACCCAGCCTAACGTCTCAGGACTGAGTGTGCCCAGAGATGGACACGTCCTCCAGACGCTCGCCCTGTGCACCATGCTCCTGATGGACATACTGGCTATAGTGGGCAACTTAGCCATCATCACCGTCATTGCCAGGACGCCGCGACTACGCAAATTTGTGTTTGTCTTCCATCTCTGCCTGGTGGATCTCATCGCGGCCCTGGTGTTAATGCCTCTGGGTATGCTGTCAGGTCAGGGCTTTTTCAACAAGGCTCTGTGTCAGGGTTACCTGTGTCTGAGCGTGGGACTGATCAGTGCTGCTATCCTCACTATCTCAGCCATCAACGTCGAGAGATACTATTACGTCGTTCATCCCATGCGCTATGAGGTGAAAATGACCATGGGCCTGGTGGTTTCGGTATTGATTGGAATATGGATTAAAGCCATCCTCATGTCCGCATTCCCTTTACTCGGCTGGGCGCTTGAAAGAGAGGAGACGGGACCGGCACTGGGGAAAGTTATGGGGAAAATTGCTGAACCAAAGAGCTGTTCGCTCCACTGGATGGATGGAGGGCCCCAACGACTGGTGTTCATGGTCCTTTTTACGCTCATGTACTTCCTGTGTCCAGTGCTTATCATCTTTGTGGTGTACTGCAACATGTTTAAGGTGGCCAGGGTGGCCGCCATGCAGCAAGGCCCAGTCCCCACGTGGATGGAGACTCCTCGGCCACGCTCTGAATCTCTGAGCAGCCGCTCAAGCATGGCGGCCAGCCTCAGTGGTGCTCGAACCACCCCTCAGAGGACTTTCAGTGGGGGCAAGGCTGCGGTGGTCCTAGTCGCTGTAGGAGGTCAGTTTCTTGGGTGCTGGCTGCCTTATTTCTCCTTCCTCCTGTACTGTGCCGTCATGCCGTCCTCTCTCGAATCCCTCGCACGCATGGCCCAACTAGAGGACGTGTTCACCTGGATTGGGTACTTCTGCTTCACCTCCAACCCTTTTTTCTACGGCTGTCTGAATCGACAGATCAGGGAAGAGCTGGCTAGAAACCTGGCCTACGTTTTCAAGTGGGGGCGTCCCGGTGAGGAAGAACAGCTGCCCAGTCGAGAGGCTTCTATCGAGGAGAACTTTCTCCAGTTTCTTCAGGGCACAGGTTGCAATATGCGGCCAAGGAATTCCCAAAGCATCTCCATCCCTCAACAGGAAGAGGACAATCCTCTCTCAACCGAGCTCCACAGGCCGTCTGTCGACTTCCACATTCCTGGCCAGATCATGGAGGAGACCTCGGAATTCATAGAGCAGCAACACATGAATGATCTTAATATATCAGACAATTGTATCAAGACTAAAGCAGAACTGCAAGGTTGACATTTTCAGATGTAAAATCTTTATTTAATGTATCATATATTGTTGCTATGGTTTACCATTGGATCTTTTTATACTCTGTCCAAGAATTTGTACATAGCTTGTTTTAAATTTTTGGTTGGTAGATTTCTGTCATCTTTTCAGGAGAGATGTTGGACTGATAAAATGACCTCATTCCAGCACATTACCGCTAGACAGAAACTTATTTACATAGATTCAGCAACATTTGTCCAAACAATCTAACATGGAAGCAACATTGTGATGTGGAATCTGTATTCAAAAAGTGGTATGAACCGCAAGTGGTTGATGTTACAAATTTTGAAGGCTCCTAATGTTAATTCAGACAACAAATAAGTTTAAAATTGGATAATAATTCAGAATTGTAACAACACAATTTGGAGCATGCACTAATATTGAACCAAGGTTTGTTTGTGTGGTGGGTAGATTTTAATTCTTTAGTTGCGATACATTTATGGCCGTCCGCAATGTCATATTTAAAAAAAAATGTTTCTTTCTTCAAAAATGAATTTTAAAAAAAAACATTGAAAAAGTTTGGGGATATACGATTTAAAAAAAATGTTTTTGAAAGAAATCTCATACTCACCAAAGCTCATTTATTTGATTTTTTAATTAGATTTAAAAAAAAAAAAAAAAAAAAAAAAAAAAAGTAATATTGTGAAATAATATTACAATTACAATTAAATTTTTGATTTGGTACTCAAGAAACATTTCTTATAAATATCAATGTTGAAAACAGTTGTGCTCCCTTATATTTTTGTGGAAACCATGATATGGTTTTTGGGACTCCTTGTTGAATAGAAAGTTCAAAATAACCATTTATTTGATGCTTTTGTAACATTAATGTCTTTACTGTCACTTTTTATCAATTTAATGTGTCCTTGCTGAATAAAAGTATTAATTTCTTTCAAAAAAAAATTACTGACCCCAAAATTTGTAACAGTACTGTATATTCCGACAAATCGAAAAAAGATGTTGAAAGTGTTCACAATCTAAGAGAACACATATACAAGTCTATTCTAGTCATTTAAACAATAAAGGGCACACAAATGAACAACTCTTACAGATTGTGATAAATTCACAAATTGGAAATGTTCTGAGAGTTCGTCAAGATGCACATTCATACGCCAAGACTCGCTAATCAGGCGTAGAGATACAATCTCGGGTTGAAAAAAAAAAGTGTTTACAGAGAGTAAAAACTTCCTCGGTTTATTCAGTCACATTTTCCACACCTTGTGACATGAAGATGGCGGCTTCCACCCTGGGGCCTTGGGCTTGGTGAGGCACCTGATCCACAAAATGGCGGGGGCCAATCAGATAGTCTATAACAAAAGGTTAACAATCGGGTCAGCTGCAAACATGTGCCACTACAGATGTCCTTTGAGATTTTGTACTTACTCCACCCACTCCCATAAGATAGAAATATTGCTTTTATTTTTATTTTTTTAGATGTGGTGAAGATTGTAATACACCTGAGGTATTTCACTCACTAGCAGGTTTCACGTCAGATGAGTTCTCCAATATTGAAGATAATGGCACTTCATATCTCTCTCCTCACTGCATTGACCCTAAGAAAGTCCAGGCAGAGACTCAATGATCTCAGCTGGCTCAAAAACAGAATGGTTGCATATGCTAAATATCTTAAAGAGAGTTTGAGAGAAGATATAGTGTAAGATACATATACCTTCTTTGTTTTATTTCATCAAAATTTTAATGTAGCTATCCATAATGTTTTAATCTTGATATATCATTAAAAATGTTTTTTGGACATGGTACAGAAAATGTTTTGGACATGTAGCATGTTATTTGAAGTACGTTGCATGTACAGTCGCTGTACAGTACCATGGTACCACCACACAACTTTTTAATTAAGGAATTAAAAAGTTTGAAAGCCTTTTTTGTATCATCAAGTTTGTAACATGAAGTCGGTCTGAGATACATTTCAAATTCTGCCACAGAATGAAATTCTCAACATTATTAAAAGAAGCTGTTTTGTTTCCTTGTCGTTCTTGTGATGCAGACAAGACTCGTCTCACTGTCAAAGGCCTTCTGTTTATGGGTAAACTCTTGTGTCAGTGCAGTGCTGTGTTTTGCCATAAGCAGAAAGAGCTTGTTGTGGCCTCAGCATACAACAGCAAAGTTTAAGTCCATATAACCAACTTCGGTGTTGCTATTTTGGTGGTAGCTGTTTTAAGAGATTGCGGTGCATGGCAGTAAAGACACAAGGTCTCAGATTTTCCCTTGTAATGACATTAGCGCTGGCTGTTGTTTTGATGAAATAGAGAGGAGAGAAAAGTACACTGGGTTAAAAAAGTAACAAAGCAAAAAATATGTAATTAAAAGAAAAAAATTAATGAGACATAATCTTAATTACTCACTTAATAATGTTGGGTTAAAAATAACCCAACGAGTAACCCAACTATAGGGTGGTATAGCACCTTCCCAACTGTGGGTTATTTTAACCCAAAACATTTGGTAAAAACCCAGTTGGGTTAAAAGTAACCGAACAGTTAAGTTAACTATTTATTTTTGACATTATGTTAATTAATAAAATACACTGTTTTTCGAAATACAGATTATTTATTTGTATAAAACAATATTGGGGAGTCATAGCATTTAATGTAAATATACATAATTGTGTACATAAATTCAAAATACACACATACAACATACGTATTTAACCCAACAGCCGGGTTATTACTAGAAATTACCCAACATAGTGACCCAATATGTGTAACCCAATGCAATGGTTGGGTTAAAAAAATAGCCCAACATTTTTTACTGTGTATTCATGCAGTCCCCTTTAAATATTTGGGGTCAGTATTTTGTAAATACATTTATTTAGCAAGGATGAGAAATTATCGATTTACTTACTTAAATTTAGTGGAATCCTGCAAAAACAATTATCATGGTTTCCACAAAAATACTAAGCAGCACAACTGTTTTCAACATTGATAAGAAATGCTTCTTGAGCAGCAAATCATCATATTAGAATGATTTCTGAAAGACACTGAAGACTGGAGTAATGATGCTGAAAATTCAGTTTTACCATCATAGGAATACATTTTAAAATATATTATAATAGAAAACAGTTATTTTAAGTTGTAACAATATTTCACAATATTTTTGCTTTATTGTATTCTAAATCAAATAAATGCAGCTTCACTGAGCAAAAGAGACTTCTCCCAAAAACATGAACAAATCTTACAGACTTCAGTGTGACAATATTAGCTATTTCAAATATTTTTTGTTAGAATTGTATCATTGACATTAATATATACTGTTTGATTTACCTCCTAGACTTCTGGATGAAAGAGAAAGATACCATCACAATCACATGTTAATGCTGTTTCACTATTAATAACTGCCTTGGAGGACATCGCGAAATAACTCAGTAAACTCATCTTGACAGAAAAGGACTGAAGATAACACATCATTCATTATTTAGGAGGGCAAATGCCATTATCAAGAAATACAGTGCTGAGAGTCCACCAGACGATGAAAACATTCACTATTTCACATTGTTGCTTTCCCTCTCTCTCTCTCTCTCTATCTCTCTCTCTCTCTCTCTCTCTCTCTCTCTCTCTCTCTCTCTCTCTCTCTCTCTCTCTCTTGGGTACAAATTTGTCCCCAAAATACACACACACACACACAAATATAGAGATATTCACATTTAGTAACATGCACACACAAACACTCATGTGCAAACACTCTGCAGACACACATGTGCACAAACTCGCATCAGTGCGACTCACATCAATGTACTTTGATGTTTGGTAAGTAAGAGGGAGACCCCTAGTGGTGAAGTTCAAACAACCTGACCTCTTAGCTCTGCTGAGAGATGAAGGTGCTGAGAGCTTTGTGAAGTCATTTGCAGCACTGGGGGAGTTGCTTCTCAATGCTGATTAGAGATCAGTTTGTGTGTTCCCTCATATATCGCTCCACCCAGAGAGTTTCCAAAAGTTCGTTTGGACTGTAGGCTACTTCAAAAGTCAAGATAATGGCTTTCATTACAATCACCATTCCAACTGAATTGAAATCCTGGTATCATACTGTTATATGTGTCTAACATTATTTGCTACAGTATCAAAATGTATGCCATAATAAATCAGTAATAGTAATATAAATACATTATTTATACCAGATCAATTACAGAGGTAAAGCCCAACTGGTGGTATCACCTACTAGATGAATAGATTAATAAATAACGAGTAGCCAGATTTCAGTGATCTTAGACAGGGGTGGGGAATTAATTAATGGATCCCAGTTCAAATGGCTATAAAAGTGTTAATGAATAAAGCACATTTTGGGATATGCATCTGTGTAAAAGTATCAGTATATTGGATTTGATGCCAGCTATATAGGAACATTCCTGTTCTTAAGTCTGAGATCCAAAGTGAAACTAAACAAATCCAGACTCAGCTCAACTGTGATTTAGTGGCGGAACACAGGCTTTATTCTCAACCACTGTGGGACTTGGTGTTTCCATGGTAACTTATCCTCTGTGACATTTCTCTGGCTAAGGGAGTGCGTTCATGAGCAAAAGACCCTTATCATAACCACTTTACAAAGCAACAATGCAAAAGTTTGTTTGTTTCTCTGTAAACATGCACTGAGATGGCATGGTAGTTTGTATAAATAAAAATGATTAACATTTTTAACAAAAGTCTGAAATTTAAACTATCCTGTTGATTACAATCAGTCCAGTTTTAAAAGGCCAATAGCTAAATAACTCAAATGTCCTGCAATACTTTATCTAATTCATTTTGCTAAAAGTAATTTCTTCAGGGCTTCAGCCATTGACTTCCATAATATTTCTTTATTACTAATCAATGGGTGCCGTTAACTGTCTGGTTACTTTAAAATATCTTCTTTTGTGTTCAACGGAAGAAACTCATGCAGGTTTGGAACAACATGAAGGGTGAGTAAGTAATTAGCCTATTTTCAGTTTTGTGTGAACTAGGCCTTTAAAGCAAAAGGTGAAACTCAGAAAGAAAGAAAAATATGTTTTATTTATTTACAAAAAGCAGTATGATATTACATTTTGGGTTTGAATTGGATTACGTCTATTTTTATTTTTAACTTATTTTTTGTTTGTATACTGCCCTATCGAGTTTTACATGAGATGTAATCTAGTGACTTGAATCTTGAATCATGCACTAAAAAATTCTCTGATTTGTTCAGTGATGCTTTCATTATGCCAGTAAGAACAACGTGCCTTTTTGTGTTATGAGTATCTTTAATCTCATAACATGTGTAATCATGTGTAATCGTTTCTTTAAAAATTGGCAACAAAGCCATAGCCTACGTTTTATTACAATTTGCGTGACTAGCATACAAGTCTACTAAATCTTTTAACGCTCTTACTCATTTCAATCGTTTATAATCAGTGTTTTTTTTTACACACTAATAATCAGTTCCTCGTTCAAGAACGAGATAACAAATTAGCCTTTCCTACATCAGTCGATTCTGGCGCTCCGATTTTCGTTTTAAACTTAAAACTGAATCGTTTGTGAAATGGGCGTGTTCGTTCAGTAGGCCCAACCAATAAGATTCCTCCTTCACAAGTCGCAGTCGATTTCTGTTGGTCCGTGTGTCAGGCAGGAAAGCAGTCACAAAGGGGAGAGACTTCTACGCTACGAACCAAACATTTGATTCAGTGCATGGAAGTGAACCAGCAGCACGATTCGTTCATTTCAAAGATTCGTTCAAAAACACCGAATCGTTAACAGCACAACTGTAATCCACTTCGAGATATTTAGCTAACGTTACATGGTTTGGATACAGTCTTGGATATCGTTTTTGCGAAAAAAAAAAAGTAAACTGGCGTTCAAAACAGATCTCATGAGCCTCATCGATGGAAACTTTTTAATCACGGAAACATTAATCTTCTGTGTTTCTGGTTTTGGGTACTTTGTGCTGTCCCAGCTAATGTAGTTGCAGCGGTCAAGTATAAGATTGCTGTTATTAGAGCTGCCATTTAACATGTTTTAAAGGATCTGTTTCCATACGCTGGCAGCATCACGTGCAAACCTGCCAACGCCTTTTCTCTCTTTGGCTTCGTTATTCTCCAAGCTCTAGGATAATTACAACCGCGTTCAGTTTTAGAGTTTTTTTTATTAATTGTTTTATAAACGTTTTGAAAAATGGGTTGCACTTTAAGTGCTGAAGATAAAGAAGCGATGGAGAGGAGTAAGATGATTGATCGGAACCTTCAAAAGGACGGAGAGAAAGCATCCAGAGAAGTCAAACTACTGCTGCTCGGTATGATAAACTTTCTTAATACCAGTATTCAATAATTCATGCTATATTGCGAGTACAATGTGTATTTTTTATTTTATTTTTTATCTCTGTTTTAAGCGCTTTCGGAGCTCCAACTCGATTGTCTTCATGCAAGCAAGCTGCTGTCCAAAAAGTGAAATGAACTTATCACTGCAAATATTCAAAGGCAGCAATAAAACGTACAAATTCAGCTTTACGCTGAAATGTTTTGCTGAGTGTTAAAAAAAGGTCATCAATACTGTCGTGGACTCATAACAGTTGATTCAGAATGTGTTGTGTTTGTACTAGTCTTGGCTCAGTGTGGTGTCAAAACATGTTTCCCCGTGGAAATCCTCCCCCGGTGTCCTAAAACATCCATTGAGCATCACCTTTTTTTAGGCTATTACCATATTTTACCTACACCATTTGGTTGCTCTGTATGACATAACCAAACCCACACTCACACTGTCTGGAACGGCAGTGTGATGGAGGAAAATAGCGGAAAGTAATGGTATGATTGTGGTAGTATTCCAGCTATCAAAGCGTGATGGAATGCAAAAGATAATGGCTGTTTTGGACCATAAGAGTGACAAAATACTGGTGTTTTGTCTGTCTATTTATTTTCGGATACTTTATTGGTAGCATACTAATTTTCAGAGACAGAGGCACCCCATATTTACAGAGCAGGTAGTCAGCTAGTGTAGCTACAGTACTCACTGTAGATGGTGCATACATAGTAGACACAACTCTCTCAGATAACTAGACAACTATCTGATTATTTGTGGGTTGCTTTGGATTTTGGATAAAAGTGCTAAAAGAAGTAATGTAAATATATATTTCAAGGATGTAGCAAGTGCCTTGTGACAGCTGTTGTTTCTGGTTGTTGTTTTCAGCTGTTGACAGGTTGTTTCTCTGAGTAAACCATACTGGGATTTGTCAGAGGAGTGACCTCTGATTTTTGTGTGGGAGGGAATTCCTTTGGACTGTGATATTCTTCTGCATGCAGATTCTCTGTCAAAACAGGTTAAAAACAGTGTACATTGTAGATTACACAATCAAAAGGTATGATCACTTTGTCTATTGGTGATATTGTCGAATTCATATTTAATGTTTAAATTTCTAAGTCACAAACAGATTAGGCGACGGCAAACAATATCCAAGACAGTATTCCTGTCAGAGGGTAAACATTTGTACAAGTCTTTGTGTTCATGAAAATCATCATCTTTTTTTTCAAGTTATGTAACCCTTCCCCTCTTGGCATTTAATTCGTGCATTGGGGCATGTTAGGGGGTTTGGCTTTTTACTCTGAATGCAGAAACCCACTGTATGCTGGAAGTGGGGCGAGCATTTCAATGAGCCAAATATTACATGCTCCGTTAAACTCAGAATGGAGTTTATAAATAAAAAGCCGTTATGAAAGAACTGTCTAAGGACGGCGAGTTCTGAGAGTCATCCTAAATTACCAAATGATTTTTATATGCTCTCGCTGTTTTAAAACTGCTGGTGGGTTTAGACAGCATAGCTACATCCCTGTTGGCAAGAGGATTGCAACTGTCTAACAGAGTTGACTATGGCTGAGTTGTAATTCGCACTGCACAATGAGCTCTTAGCTTAATCGCATTGAGAACTCACTTGTGGATTTTTCTTTGTGTTCAGTGTGGCTTTCCTGACATCAGCAGATTCAGGGGCATTAGGCTATGATGACTATACTATTGGTTCTGGCTGAACTGCAATTCAAGTGGTCTGTTTAAAGGGATACTACACCCAGAAAAGAAAATTCGGTCATAATTTTCTCGCCTTTATATCGTTCCAAACCTGTCTGACTTACTTTCTTCTCCGAAACACAAAACAAGAAGATATGATGAAGAAAATTAGGAACCAAACTACATTGGAGACTATCGACTTCCATTTAATGGACAAAAAACACGGAGACATTTCTTAAAATAGCTTCTTTTATATTCCACTGTTGTTCATCTCTTTCTATTCCACACATATCAGTGTTATGTACACTCACCTAAAGGATTATTAGGAACACCAGTTCAATTTCTCATCAATGCAATTATCTAATCAACCAATCACATGGCAGTTGCTTCAATGCATTTAGGGGTGTGGTCCTGGTCAAGACAATCTCCTGAACTCCAAACTGAATGTCAGAATGGGAAAGAAAGGTGATTTAAGCCATTTTGAGCGTGGCATGGTTGTTGGTGCCAGACGGGCCGGTCTGAGTATTTCACAATCTGCTCAGTTACTGGGATTTTCACGCACATCCATTTCTAGGGTTTACAAAGAATGGTGTGAAAAGGGAAAAACATCCAGTATGCGGCAGTCCTGTGGGCGAAAATGCCTTGTTGATGCTAGAGGTCAGAGGAGAATGGGCCGACTCATTCAAGCTGATAGAAGAACAACTTTGACTGAAATAACCACTCGTTACAACCGAGGTATGCAGCAAAGCATATGTGAAGCCACAACACGCACGACCTTGAGGCGGATGGGCTACAACAGCAGAAGACCCCACCGGGTACCACTCATCTCCACTACAAATAGCAAAAAAGGCTACAATTTGCAAGAGCCCACCAAAATTGGACAGTTGAAGACAGGAAAAATGTTGCCCGGTCTGATGAGTCTCGATTTCTGTTGAGACATTCAGATGGTAGAGTCAGAATTTGGCGTAAACAGAATGAGAACATGGATCCATCATGCCTTGTTACCACTGTGCAGGCTGGTGGTGGTGGTGGTGGTGTAATGGTGTGGGGGATGTTTTCTTGGCACACTTTAGGCCCCTTAGTGCCAATTGGGCATCGTTTAAATGCCACGGCCTACCTGAGCATTGTTTCTGACCATGTCCGTCCCTTTATGGCCTCCATGTACCCATCCTCTGATGGCTACTTCCAGCAGGATAATGCACCATGTCACAAAGCTCGAATGATTTCAAATTGGTTTCTTGAACAAGCCAATGAGTTCACTGTACTAAAATGGCCCCCACAGTCACCAGATCTCAACCCAATAGAGCATCTTTGGGATGTGGTGGAACGGGAGCTTCGTGCCCTGGATGTGCATCCCACAAATCTCCATCAACTGCAAGATGCTATCCTATCAATATGGGCCAACATTTCTAAAGAATGCTTTCAGCACCTTGTTGAATCAATGCCATGTAGAATTAAGGCAGTTCTGAAGGCGAAAGGGGGTCAAACACAGTATTAGTATGGTGTACCTAATAATCCTTTAGGTGAGTGTATATCAGTGTTGTTATTGTTAACTAGAACTAAAAATTCTTACACTAAAAATTGTTTAAATAAAATATAAATATTAGATTTCAAAATGTAATTAGAAATGTCAAAATGTAACAAAACTTAGAAATCTTTAATTGGCAACTAACTGAAATAAAATAGGATGAACACAGGTACTTGTACTTGTCACGGTGGCTGTAATGAATCTGCATGAGAAAGGAATAGGGAACAAAAAAAGTCTATTAAATCTACACAAAACACTTCTAGAACACAAATCTACACAAAAACATTTACACATTTAACTTGGATGATGACGGACAAATGAACTGACAGAACTCAGGGTTTAAATGGACAGGGAGAGTAACCAATATAAGTTTGAACAGGTGATATAAATCAGCAACTTATTAAGGCACAAATGAACACCGACAAATCAGAACAGGAAAAACAAAACTAAAACAGAACATACATGTTACAATAGTCCCGTCTTTCAGGAAGGTGCAGCTTTGGAGGAGGACGAGGGGCTGGCGAAGTGCAGGACACCGGAGGAGATGAAAAAAGGAGAGGTCAGGGTGGCGATGACGTTGGGAGGAACCAGGAACATTAGTAGAACCAGGAGCCATGGTGGAGATTTGGCTGTCGACACCAGGGACACGATGGACGGAGATGGAGCCGATAAAGGAATGGAGCCTATGGAGGGATGAAGTGTAGCGTAAGGCCCGTAAGTCTGTGGCGCAGGTAGAGTGACGTCTGACCCAGGCTTAGCCGGAGGGACAAGGTAGCCTGGTGGAGCCGTAATAATGTTGGTCCCAAGTGGAGCCAAGGGAGGGGGAACCAAGGCGGAGCCGACTGGTTGACAGACTAAGGTGGAGTGACAGAATCAATCGCTGGAGGCAGAGCCAGGGGATCCTCTTGACTGAGTGGAGCTTCTTGACTTCCTTCATTTCCTCAAATTTCACAAGTAATACCACTGTGGCACATGATGTTTCTGGCTCACATACCAGGTCAGACGATCCGTCGGGCTCAGGCTCTGGGACGATCCTTAGCTCAGTCCTGACTGCTGACGTTGTGATCTTGGCAGGCTCTAGCCCTCCGTCTATGGTGGGCTCTGGCGTCATTTCTGTGCATCGGGGTGATGGCTGGCTGGGCTCTGGGTCCGGAGTGGGGCTGGTGATGTCCTCCGCTGGGCAGATGGTGAATGCCGATGCGTTGTTCACAAGCACCCACTCCACAAACGTGGCGAAATCCTCTTGAGGACCGTTCTATGGGAGGCATGCCTTGGGCCGGATATGGAGTTCGGCACACCAGATAAAAAAAAAAACTCTAGTCTGGTCCTCCAGGGAATGATCTTTCTGCTCTGGGCTGAGCAGTTGGACAGCAGGTAGGTCTATATGCGAGGGTAGAAAGGGGAAAAAAAAGAAAGAAAAACGTTTCTTAGGGTCCGGAATTCTGTCACAAATATCTGTAATGAACACGCATAAAGAAAGGAATAGGGACCAAAAACGATCCCTATTAAATCTACACAGAACATTCCGGAGATCACTGGAGAAAACATAAACAACTACATTAAACTTAGCCGATACCGGACAAATGAACGAAACAGAACTCAGATTTTAAATGCACAGGGAGAGTAACCAAAATAAGTATGAACCAGTGAATTAAATCAGTAACTATAAGGGCACAGGCAAACCAGAACAGGAATCAGTGAAAACTAAACTAAAACAGAATATACGTTACAGTACTACAATTACTCTAAAAACTGATCTAAAAAATTAACTAAAGTTGAAAATATAAAAATAAAAGCTTAATCAAATATTAATTATACTATAATAGTATATAAATAGTACTAAAATAATCCTGTTAGCCTATATATTATCTTATTCATTTTGTTTCACATGTGTGCTGTACAGGAATAGTTCACCCATGACAATTATGTGTGCTGTTATTGTTGTGTTGAACACTGGAAACATTTAGGAAACGGGTTGTCTTTATAATAATAGCACACTTAATATTAATATTTTTCTCACACAGTGTATTTGGGTTTTTTATATGTGAAAATATGTACTTGCCTTTATATTTTAGGAAGCGGTCTATCAAAAGGTCACTGTAAAGGTTCCTGTTTAAAAAAAGAGCTGTGTGGAGATTTAAAATATCCTTTTGTTTTCCACAGAAATCAATGAGGTTGAGTAAATAATGACAGACTTTTCATTTTTTGGGGTGAACTCTCTCTTAAACAACTGTTAGTTTCTAAAAGAAATGTTTTGCTTCTCAACCGAGGGAAGACTTCTTAATGTAAAATTAGTTTCTGTTTGATAACACTATGATTATCCCACTGGAGGATATTGCTCAGTAGGGGGTTTGGCATCTGGTGTCTGTCTGCTCACAGCTCTATGTGAACCTGCACTGTTGAAAAAGCTAAAGGAGAATAAATCATAAATCATGCCTTTGCTCAGCTGGGGTTGATAAATAGTAGTGATCTTAACCACACTGCACATGCCACTGCAACTAACTATATAATTACAGCAGGAGTGAGCCATTCAAAGCATTCACAGATGTGTATGTGGAGATTTTGTGGCTGTGCTGCACAGTCCCGGTGCGAGACCTGATGCTAGGACAGAATCCAGACTGTGCGTGGCTTTCATTCCAGAGTTGCAGTTAGTAGGAGAAAGTGTGGAAGTTCTGAGATAGCTTCCGGTTTGTGTGCAGTGAATGATCACATTGGCTTTAGCTGGTCCTAAATCAGTTCTCTCACAATTAGAGACTTAAAATGAGTGAGTAAGCTAGTTAGATTGTTAGCTTAGTGATAAAACCACACAATGGTTGCCGATATGAGCCCAACATCATTTGCTCATGGTTTTGGACTTTATTTATATATTTATTTATTTGAACTAAATTGCCTGTTTATTTAAACAATGTTTTTATAAGGTACCTTTTTTGCAATTATAAATAGTACAATTTAAATATAATTTTTGTCCTTCAGGTTTTGATCTAATTTTATGATGCTGTCTTAATCTATGATGCTGTCATTATATTGCTGACTTTACTTATGTTAATGAGAGAAGTAACAATGTCAGATCCATGAGTTTTTGCAGTTCTCTTTAGGAATTATTTGATCCAGTTCATAATATAGCTAACCCAATTGTAATGATTTGTGTAGAAATTCAGCTTTTTTGGGTGAACTACTCCTTTAAAAAAAACAGATTCAGCTTGCTTAACTGGTCGCTGTTGGAAAGGTCAATAGGTTTGTGTGTTCTCTATCTGTTTGGAAAGTCCAGGGCTGATTTTTAAAGAACTTTCTCTCAGCCATTGATAACTCATTGTGCTTTTACTTGTGCCAAGGCCTCATCAGACGTGGCAGGACGTTTTGGCCGTCCCACTCTCGGCTGCAGCATGCCTGCGGTTCAAGAAGATATTTTTCCCATGATTCTCTAGCCCCAAAGACCCACAGTTATTCCCTCGTTCTTCCATAAATTTGAGCTAATAGGGCAGCAATCCACACCTCAGAAGCAGAAATTATTGATCTAACCCTTAATGCATCTTACAGTAGATTTGCTGCATGTAAATGAGCAGCACAAATGATCCTGAAGAATGAACAGTTGACCAAGTGTGCTGCATTTTTTTCTCTGTCTTTTTTTTTTTTTAAATTCATTGTGATTCTTTTATTGTACAGCACTTTGGTCAACCTCGGTTGTGTTGCTTTTTAAGACAACATTGATTGATTGAATTTTTCACCAGAATGGGAAGCCAACGAATATTTGAAGTTCAACGGGTAACCTCGGATATCTCGGGTAATGGAAAAGTATTTTGAAGGGGACGGAATCTGTTAATCCATATCCAAAATGTGTTAAAAACATCATGCAATACCTGCCAATTTGCATAAAAATGTGAAATATGTTCTATTCATTCCTGTTATTCATTTCACTCGTCAATTGAGAATTACAGTTAAGCATTGGATTGTGTACACACCATGCGTCCACTGGCCTGTTTGCTCATGTTTGTACAAACATCTCTTTCTGGTGTGTTGGTTAATAAGGCATCTAAGTGAGTCATTTGACTTGTTTATAAAAAGCTCACCTATCGTAGCTCCTTCTGTCCTAACAAACACTTTGGCTGGGGGAACTAACATCAGACAAACCTTTCATCTTCAGGGCATTTAATCTTACCGTATGGCAAGCGCAACCCGAAATAGAGAGCTCGTTCTGCAGCTCATGCTGGGCTTGTGATGTGGGAGGCAGAGGTTGAAAGCTTCTATTCATCTAATGCAGACCTTCTCCTGAGCGTGTGATGTTTGGGGTCAGGCGAATAAACTGCATTTATCGATTTGCCATATCAACCTCATCAACCATGTTCTGTGTTGTTTGTCTTTTTTTAGGTGCTGGGGAATCAGGGAAGAGTACAATAGTTAAGCAAATGAAGTGAGTGTTTTGATTATTATTATTATTTATTTTTAAATCTATTTTTGTTCTTGTTGTGCAAAACCTCTCAAAAAAATTCAACAAAGATTAGATAATTTCATGTGTGTGTGTGTGTGTGTGTGTGTTTATTATATTAATATTGTAAAGTTTTACATTATATTCTTTCTTTTATACAATACATACATTTATGTTTATATAAATTATATATATATATATATATATATTGTTGTATGTGTATTGTGGTGACAAACTAAATTCTATCACTGAATAAGAGACAAACATTTCCAATAGTCTTTGAGGTTTATCTTCATGCAAGAAAAGCAGTCATACAGTCACACAGAGTGGCTGCAGAGTGTGACAGTGAGGGGAGGGCATCCTCCTCTTTTATAGTTTTGACTCCCAGAGTGTTATCTTTCTAGGCCAATGATGGTATTTTCAACCATACGTGGAATATTCTTAGACTTGTTCATCATATTTTATCCTTGAGAGTGGAGGCCCTCCTGTCACGTACCAACACTCTTTACCATTCCAATACAATTCCATTTTAGAATAAGGTTTGTGTGTGCTCTTTTACTGTCATATGATGGTCACACACATCTTGAAGATAACATTTCTTCCACAGTATATATATATATATATATTATATAATATTATTAGAACATATACTAATACATTAGTAGGCTTACTTATAATCAAAATACATTGAAAATTGTTGTATATAATAAATATTTGATATTAAAATGTTTAAATAAATAAATGATTATATGGCCATTCAAGCAATCACATGTATTTTTATTTGCTTTCTGTACTGAATATTTTGGTTTGTGGATGACCAAAATCAGAATCAGAACAGCCTAAAGGGAACATTGCTGGCAGTTATCATTGGATTTTGTTGATTTAATTGTTTTGTTTGATGCGCAGTAGATGTAGTTATCCTATCGGATTTGTTTTACTTCAGGATCATTCATGAAGATGGTTACTCAGATGAGGAGTGCAAGCAGTATAAAGTCGTGGTTTACAGCAACACTATCCAGTCCATCATTGCCATTATCAGGGCCATGGGCCGTTTAAAGATCGACTTTGGGGACTCTGCAAGAGCGGTAAGATACAGTACATAAATTAAAAATGCACGCAGAATTACCCATAAGCAATAATTTATTACTTATTTTGTCTAGACTGCATAGTGCTGGAATTCGAGTACAGCAATGTTTACAAAATTCACCCTCTGGACAACTCAAACTGAGTTTAGTTCTTCTTTTCAGCCTTCCCAGGACAAAAGTATTTCGATCATTTATAATATCATGATGCTCTGAACCACCATAATTGGTCACAATATCTCAATACAGCAAGAATCTACTGATGGTTTCCCTCACTGGAATCTACTGAGGATTTCCCTGTTTTTCACTGAATTAACACAAGGAAGAATGATATTTAATTATTTATAGCAATATACGTGGTAATATACAGCAATATTTTAAAATAATTTTTATTTCTAATTCCTGTCATACGAAAACAAACATGCAACACACCTAGTGTAGCTTGATTCATGAGGTTATGAGGTATGTTGTAATGAATCGGTCAAGAGTTCATCAGTCAAAAGAATTATGAGTAACAAACTCCATATTCAAAATTGAAATTGACTGACAGCTTAAATTAAAGGAGACCAGTTTTCAGATTTTGTACTCTTTAACATCAGGATGACGCTCGTCAGCTTTTCGTGCTCGCGGGCACTGCAGAGGAAGGGGTCATGACCCCTGAGCTCTCTGGGGTCATCCGCCAGCTGTGGAAGGATGAAGGAGTCCAGACGTGTTTCATCAGATCACGAGAGTATCAACTCAATGATTCAGCAGCATAGTAAGTGCACTTTCTTGAGATGGACCAAGGTTTTTCACAAGCTATTCTGTGGGGCCTAGCAGAGTGACCAGAGGTGCCGTTCATCACGATAACATGTTTGACATGCAGAACGTGTCTAAATAATATATAAATAAACCGATTTTTTGTTTGTTCTTTATTTCTTTCAAATAAATGTTGTTGGTTTGATATTTTGTTTTATAACGCAGTAACATTCATAAACATTTAAGTGTCCAAATACTTTTATAAATTTTAAAATAAAGTATACAATTATTTGAACGGAACATGCCAATGTTTATTTTGGCTTATAACTTTAGATAGTTATTTTGCAAATATTGTTTTTACTTACAAAACCTTTGGTTTATTGTACCATAATTTGTCTCCACAAAATCATGCTTTTGTTTGATGTGGAGTAAACCAGATTTTGGTTTCCTTTAGCCCAGTTCCTTTATCCTTGTGCAGACCTGTGTTTTTTTGTACCTGGTAGATTCCAGCTCATTGACTGTGGGGAAATTTGTGGCTTTCTGAATTGCATTGCACAACTTTTTTTCCCCTCACAGATTTTTTCCATGTTACCGTCATTCTTTCACTCTGTTTTCAGCTTTGGTAGCCACTAAGAATGTTTCCAGTAATAATAAAGACAAGAGCAAACTTCTCTCCTCTCAGTGAACTCATGCGTTCATGCATTGAAACTATAGAGCCAAATCTTCCAATGAGGAAGAAGTTTTATGCTGTGAGCTCCTGTGTTATGGCAGAATCAGAGTGGATGGGTCGTTTGATGGATACATCTTTATCTTAGCCACAAGCCTGTTAGCCACATGCCTGTACTGCAATGATCTCTCTCTCTCTCTCTCTCTCTCTCTCTCTCTCTCTCTCTCTCTCTCTCTCTCTCTCTCTCTCTCTCTCTCTCTCTCTCTCTCTCTCTCTCTCTCTCTCTCTCTCTCTCTCTCTCTCTCTCTCTCTCTCTCTCTCTCTCTCTCTCTCTCTCTCTCTCTCTCACTCACTCACTCAAAACCCACCCTCCAACCTTTGCACCCCCTGTAAAAAATAAAAAGTTACACTACAGCTGGGGTCAGTAAAACATTTTTTAAATGCATTTACTTTGTTTATTCACCAAGGAAAAAATAAAGCTTCGTGTCACATTAAAACCATTACAAAACCCGTAAAATATCTGATGAATGCATATGTAATCATGTGTCACTTGTTGAGCCAAGTAAGCTTATATGTTAAATAAAACACAAAGACTATCTCGTTCTTTTTTAATTGTTCTGTAAAAGTAAACATTTCGAGCTTTCTATAGATATATTTCTCAGGTGTGTGAGGCAAGTAGGCCTACCTTATACGCTGTGTCTCGGTTCATTTATGACTCACAAGACGAGCTCCAGTTCACGCGCCGGCGGCTCCGTGTCAGGATTATCTATTGTCTGCTGTATTTACTTCTTATTTATTAAATCCAGGCAATTGGTTGATGAAACATTGATTAAAATTAAGATACAATTAATACAAAACGAAATTCACCTTAATGAAAGGCTTTGTGCTTTATGTTTGATGTCTCTGTGTAAGTTTTAAAGTGGTCTTTCAGTGCCACTTTCAGAGTGGTCACGTCCGTAACGGGGAACTGTCACGTAACATTGTTTTTCCCTCATAAATGCCACCTAAAAGTTAAAGTTTTTTTGTGTCACGTCCGATGTGTATTTCCCTCATATTAAATATAATACGCATGTGTAGACTGATATTTTTCTAATGTCTGGACTCCTTTATTAAGGGAGTATGGATAAACAGACATTTCAATATATTGGTATTAAATGCATTTGAGAATTTACATTTCAAGTGTTTTACCTCAAATGTCACGTCCATAACGCTGGAATTGCCCAATTTTAAAGAATTTATCCTCAACTAGTTTTGTGGTGTAGGTCTACGTATTTTATAATGTTAACTTCAAATAATACTAATAGTAATTTAAAGATGTGGTAGCATTGGATCTGGACGGAAAGGATTTCGACCCCCGCCAAATTATTACCCCCCTAGCATTAGTAGGTTTAGGATTAGTTGTGGGGGAGGGGGGAGGATTAAGGGCGGGGTTGGGATTAGGCAATCAGGTACTAACTTCAACGAGGGGGGTAATAATTTGGCAGGGGGTCGAAATTAGGCACAACACCGGCATCACTGCTGGCGAGGGCCCCGTTCCTGTCCAGTGACGCAAGATCGGCGGCGTTTGAGGGGCCCCTAATTGGCACAGGGCCTTGGGGTGGCCGCACCCACGCTATCTCCGCTACTGATCCTGACATGTGGTTTCACAAAATGCTCACTATGGTTTGTCTCTTGTCCAGCTATCTGAATGACCTGGATAGGATATCCCAGCCTACCTACATGCCTACTCAACAAGATGTGCTGAGAACTCGGGTCAAGACCACTGGCATTGTAGAAACACACTTCACCTTCAAAGAGCTCTACTTCAAGTAAGTGTCATCTCTCTTTCTCTGTCTGTCTGTCTGTCTCATGGCCTGATCATATCCGCTTGTATCCGAACAGGATGTTTGATGTAGGAGGTCAGCGTTCAGAGCGGAAGAAATGGATTCATTGTTTTGAAGGCGTCACTGCCATTATCTTCTGTGTGGCGCTCAGCGACTATGACCTGGTCCTAGCTGAAGATGAAGAGATGGTGAGTTTCCTTCACACGGCGATCCCACAGCTAAATCAGAATGGCACACTATTCTGTTAGCAAGATCACATGACCAATTCAAAGACATATTTGATATGACGGATTAATGCAAATATGGTAAAAGATGATAATCAGTGAGAAAAGCTACTAGCAGAGCTCAGTATTTTGTTTATTTCTCCATAGCCACCACAGGGGATGTTCTGTTTGTCCTGGTTGTGTTAAAGTGATTTTCTCATAGCTCATGGAAAACCCACATAGTTTCCTCAAGAGACCCAATTTCTTAAAATACACAAACTATTTTTCCATAAAAGGATGATTTTAGGTTGCATAATGACTTTCAGCAGAACTAAATGCACATTATAGAATTAAATAACTCTTAATTCCGTCACGGCACTGAGCATTTTTTAATGCAAATCTCAGCTCTCAGTTGTCAAACCAAGCAATGTCCGATCAAATGTGAACAGATAAATGAGTCTCTGAGAAATTTGTTGATCTTGATGTGTCCACAGAACCGAATGCATGAGAGCATGAAGCTTTTTGACAGCATCTGCAACAATAAGTGGTTCACAGACACATCCATCATCCTCTTCCTCAATAAGAAGGATCTGTTCGAAGAGAAGATCAAGAGAAGTCCACTCACGATATGCTACCCAGAATACTCTGGTGAGATTAAATAAAATATTGAAATATTGTACTTATGATTGAAAAGTTAAGTGGCTTAAATAACATTACACGTAAACTTACAGCTAAATGTATATGTGGTGGTGAAGGATGATGCCACTAATAGGACAGTATATTCAACAATAGTTGTATTACTACTGGGGATATTCAAATTAAATGACCCATCATACCACTGATCAGCTCTACCAAACTTGGATGTCTTTTTCCAGTAATAAACAAACACTGTTAGGTTGTTTTGATTCGATACTGTGAAGCAGCTTTGATACAATCTGTATTGTGAAAAGCGCTATATAAATATATTTGACTTGACTTACTAACTTGAACAATCTGTTTTAGATGGTCCTGAAAAACTATTTAAATCACGTCTAAAATGAAATCAAACTTCAGATAATCAGTAAATCATATATTTAGTCAAGCATCATTATATTGGTAGAGCCTTTAGGGCAAACTGCAGAGTGGATGAAGTATTGCTTGTTTATAAAAAGTTATATAAATGAAGAAGGGACTACATGAGGTTAAGTTTGAACAGCCTATCAGATGAGGGGAAACACTGTGGAAAAACCTCTGTTTTGTGTCTGGTAGTTATCATCCTTCAGGGCCGGGTGAAAGTTGAGTCTTGCCGGTTTTAGTGCCTCTCTCTCTCTTTATTTTTAAAACACAGTACATTTATAGATGTTGGTTTGTCCTCAGTGTGTTCCATTGAAATCAGTCATGGATGAACTGTGGCACAATATATTTGGCCAGTGGGCTGGACCAAAGTGATGAATTAGTCTTACTAAAAAGCTTTAATTAACTCCTCCAAAAATTCTTGAGTATTTTTATATTGTGCCCCGACTAATCATCTTCTGCCTTGTTCATTGATGTGACATTCTCCATCTTCCCACTTAAAAAGTTGTTGGAGTAACGTTAAGAAATCTTTCTATGTTTAAAACATGTTAAAATGTCATTTTTCCCTGTGATGGCAAAGCTGAATTTTCAGCATCATTACTCCAGTCTTCAGTCACATGATCCTTCAGCAATCATTCTAATATGCTGATTTGGTGCTCAAGAAAGAGTTCTTTAAATAATATTTAAATAATAATATTCTTATTAGTTTCTTATATAATAAAATTAATATTTAAACTATATTATTCTTATTAGTTTCTTATATAATAATATTAATATTTAAACTGACACATTGTTTTCAGGATAGAAAGCTCAAAAGAGTAGCATTTATTTGAAATAGAAAACCTATGTAATGTTATAAATGTCTTTATTGTCACTTTTGATCAGTTTAATGCATCCTTCCTTGCTGAATACAAGTATTAATTTCTTTGCCAAAAAAAAAGAAAATCTTCATTTGAACAGCGGTTTTAATCACACAAATCTTAAACTAACATTTGTCTTGTGATGCTCAGGAACGTATGCATATGAGGAAGCAGCGGCCTACATCCAGTGCCAGTTTGAGGATCTGAACAAAAGAAAGGACACTAAGGAGATCTACACACACTTCACCTGTGCCACAGACACCAAGAACGTACAGTTTGTGTTTGATTCAGTCACTGATGTCATCATCAAGAATAACCTCATAGAGTGTGGCCTCTATTGAAGCATCATCTGTGTGCTAAGGTAAGTACAACTAAAGAGAAAAGGGCCAAAACCTATAGGACTGTTTCAAATGTTTTAGAGACAAATCATGATTCAGTAATACGTTTGCTTTGCACTTATTTTTTCCTAAATTTAGTACCATACATTTGGAAATACCACAGACCCATGGTGACCTTAAAAAAAAAACATGAAATGTTTACCCGAAATGTTTGTTTGTTTTATATTTAATAATAAGACACTTTTTTTTTTTTTTTAGTCGTTTATGGAAGATTTCTGAGCTTCACTGGCTGGTTGTTCCTGGTTTTGTCCGTTTCCTCCGGCAGCGGATGAGCGAGAGAGACTGCCACCCCGATGCATGCATCCCTGTGACCATGAACAGGATTTTTGAGACTATTTTATTTCCCCTTATTCTTTTATTCGTAATGACAGTCTGTGATGGTCATTATTTCTTTGCCACTTCCTTTTAGTCTTTATTTTATTGCCAATATTCCTCTATAGGTATTACATGACACACCACTATGCATAGATCAAAATACACAATGGACGATATCATGTGACTATATGCCAACCCCCATTAGATCAAATATCTTTAAGATTTCAATAGTAGTCCTATTAATAACAGTGTATCAGTTCTTATGGGAAAGAAAGTTTTTCATAGTGATTATTTTGCTAATTTATGAATTATTTAGGTCTGTCTTTAAGACTTTATTTGCGACCATAGCAGAATTTCTAAGAATTAAGTCGCCATGATGAGTGAAACGTTATGTCATTGTTGTAACTTTAGTGATTCACAGCCCAAACCCCAAACACACAGCTACAGGATAATTTTTTTTGACTAATTATTAGACATGAATCACTTTATATAACACACTTTATATAACACACTATTTTTGTATTTCTTGAGAACCTGTAAAGGTGTGAACAAATGCTTTTCTCACAGATACATTTCTGAATGGTGCGAAAAGAATGACCCTCTGTTTGGTCACTTGGGAACAAATGCCATAAAAACAGAGCATGATGGCCGGATTTGCATTCATGTCTTGGAGTACAGCCTTTTCTAAGACTTGTTTGATGAGCTTTTGTTTAATCCTGTGGATTTTAGTATTTTTTAAACAAACTGACACAATGTGATCTGGTTTGTAATACCTGTGTTTAATATGAAAAGGGTTTCCATTGATTTAAGACTAATGTCTATAACATCTTGAACATGCCAAATAGCCAGAGTCACTATAATATTTGCAAGACAGCCATTATCCATATTTCCCAATACTGGTACATTGATGTACTCAATGAATTAGTCGGAATTCATTCAACAATCTGTGGTTTCCTGTTTATATCACTGCTTTATTTGAACTATTTGTAACATAAAAAGTGCAAATTAACAACTAACGGTAATGATAGCACTGAATCACTAATATGCTATAAACTTGGTTTGTTTAGTTTCTGAACGCATTGGGTATTATTTAAAAATGTTTTTGCTTAAAGGTTGTTTCTGATCACGTCCGTAGTACCATGTCACCAATTGCTGCAGTTTTGCGAAAATACATATGCAAACCTTTAAGGAAACCTTTATACATAATCATGATCAGAAATTAACTTTAACAACCATGAGTTGAAAATAATCTATTTTTTGAAACAATGGATCAAAGAATATTTGATCATTTTAGTCTTCAAACGGCGAAGACAAATATACAGATTTTTTTACACTAAGAATCATACCTAAATGTATTTTACCATTTGTCTTATTTTAATGAGACTGTGTATCTGATTTAATATTGTGCAATTGCCAATGTTGGCTCTTTTATTTCCTATTATTCCAGTTGTTTTTCTGATTGTGCCTGTGGCTCTGAATGTGTATTTATGTGTAGTGTCACGATTGTTGGATATCTTTACTAATTTTAGCTGTCTTTTTTTATTATATAATGCTCTTAGCAAAAAGAGTGTTTTGTATTGTGGTTCATTCAAAATTAGATCTGACATAGAGGGTCAGTGTTTGAAAATCCCAATTAATACAATGTAAGGGGGCTCTTTCGTGAAAATGCGCAATTTCTATGGTGCTAATAGCCAGACAATTACAGCACATAGTAATCTGACACCAACAACCAGTGGAATTGATGCAAATCTTTATTTCATGTGCCTACATTTACATTCCAGAACATCTCCACAAATGCAGACCTCGGGTTTAAAATAAAGCAACAGACCATTCTAGAATTTTCTGTTACTGTAATACTGTATCATTAATATATATATTTATGTCTCCATATATATTTTATATAGAATCTTCTTGAAACAGAATTTTTGTTTGCCTACTCTTATTTACATAACATACTGCCCTACTATGTTTGGGGCTGAAAAAGAAACATTTTTCACATATTGTGTTAGCTGGTTAAATTCAAACAATCAGGTCTTGATGGTATGCAGGTTTTTCCTCTCTCAAAGGAGACCAGACACGCGTACGCGTTTCTAATTGTTATCATGGGATCTGATGTCCCACTATAGTGTCTTTATTACAGCAACATTGAATTGCATTAAATTTACTTTTCTTTTTCTGGAAATGAATGAAAAAAAAAACATCTAACAGTCAAACCTCTATAACATTAAAACAGTGAGAGGAGGCTTCTCTACAAGCATCATTAACTCATAGCATCAAAAGTCCCCTTTCTTTGGTAATCCTTCTCTTATTGATTCTATTAGCAGTTTGAACTGTTAGGAAATGTTTTTCGAGTCCCTTTGGAGAACAGAGGCCATTAGTCTAATCTGGATCTAGTCTCTGAGTTTTGGATGGGATGTTGAGGTTGTTCTTTGCCGGGGATCCGCTGACCACACTTGACTGCTTGCTGTAGAGTTCACCTTCATGCCACCTGTGGATGTTCTTTTGTTACCGTGGCAACTTCATCAGAGTAAATCCAATCATTCAGGCGAGGATGGAGCAGAAAGATCTGGAAAATAACTTAAAACGCAAAAAAAAAAAAAAAGGTTCATCACTTAAAGTTATGGAAGCTTGTTTCGAAAAGTCAGAATTCCAGATATAAAGATATAGACTTTATAACCCGCAATTGCCACTTTATATCACACAATTCTGAGAATTGTGAGATACAAATTTGCAATTACCTTTTTTTATTATTAAGTTGTTGAAACAAGCTTTCACATAAAAGTAATTATTTTATTCAGAAAAAAAAAAAGCTAATTCTCATTTAAATGATTTTACAGAACTTTCTGAAGTTATAACACCGTCTACACTGGAAGCGTGGAAACTTTGTCATCCAAGCATGTTTGCTACCACGGTAACCATGTAACTATGAGTAACTATGCATCCAAGTTTATTTCAATGTTATTTTATTTTCAAATAGCTTGATACAAAATTACTTATGACTAGTCTGGTTGTACTTTTTAATTCATATACAAATTATCAGAAACAAAAGCTGGTTTAATTCAATAGACCAGAGACCAAAAACTTCACAAGCTGGGTTTGGAGACAAGTCACATAAAATCAATATTTGTGCATAAAATCAAGTAGCTGGAGTAGCTCTGAATAGAATAGAAATGGGGGAATCCGTCAACTGAAGTCAGAAATTTACTTTTAACGTTCCACTCATGTCCAGTGTAAACGGGACGTAAGAATCTGCTTTATTTCTTTCAGGGAACGTACCTTTGAAAAAGTCGATGTTTAGAACAGACCACAGTCCTTGAGGTTTTCTTTGATGATAATGTCTGTCACAGCGTTAAACACAATTTCAACGTTCTTTGTGTCCGTGGCACAGGTCAGGTGAGCGTAGATCTCCTTCACTCCCTTCTTCATGTTAAGATCCTGAAATTGATTCTTGATATAGTTGCTGGCATCTTCATATGTGTTTGGACCTGGAAAATTGAGATGTTCATCAATTATCATAGTCGCCCATGGTAGTGGCTGTATTTGCGTTTACAGTTCCACTACCAATTGCAATAGATTAAAACAATTCAGACATACAGACTTTTAATGAATGAGTTCATTGAAAAATGGAAATTAATTTACTCACCTTTATGCTGATCCATGACCTGTATGACCTATCTTCTGCTGAGGTACATTTTTAAAGAATACCCTGACAAATCTTTTCAATAGAATGAAAGTGAAGGACTGTCAAGCTTCAAAAAGGATGCAAGAGCACTATAAAAGGTCTATACCAGCCATAAGAAGCCATACCAGGACCAGACCGAAAGTCATTATTCACTAATAGTCAGTTAACCGTTGTGATTGGTTCAAGTCAATTAGTTAATTGAAAAGATGTGACTCAATAGAATGATTAATTTGTCAATCAGACATTGTCTCTCATGAACTTGCCGAGGAGAGCTTGGTCAAATCAAGATTATAACAACTTCAATTTTAGTCTGTTCTTCACACAAAGCTATCATATGGCTTTAGAAGACCTAATTTATTATACTTTCATGGTACTTTTACTTTTTGTCATTCTGAAGCACTTGACAGTCCCAGTCCTTGTTCGCCAGGATGATTTTATGTTCTACAGAAGAAAGTCATACAGGTTTGGAATGATAGGAGTGTGAGTTAACAGTTAAGTCCTGGGCAAAGTACTGCTTTAAGGTGTTGTGTTTATTTATATAGAGACCTCACTCACCATCATAGTCAGGGAAACAGATGCTCAGGTGGACTTTCTTGATCTTCTCCGAGAAGAGATCTTTCTTGTTGAGGAAAAGCACAATGGAAGTTGTGGCGAAGAACCTGTGGTTGCAGATACTGTTGAAGAGATGGAGACTCTCGTGCATGCGGTTCTGGAGAAACATGAGGAACAAAATAATATAAGTTGAGCAGCAATCCTAGAGCCTCAGACATCAGTTTCAAACCATTAAATTGGGCTCTATGATATTTATAATGTGAATGATCTAGATTTTTTTGCTGAATAAAGGATCTGTAAGGTCTGTTCCTCATTCTTAAAAACAATGGTTCCAAAACGGAGGTTTCACAGCAATGCCATAGAATAACCATTTAGGGTTCCTAAAGAACCTTTAATTAACAGTCAACAGTCACAAGAACATTTTAATAATCAAAAGAAGCGTTTTCCACTAAAAAGAACCTTTTGTGCAGGTTCTTGAAAGGTTCTTCATGGAACCACAGATGCCAATAAAGAATCTTTGTTTTTAACTGTGTTGGCTAAAGATAAGCACTTACCACTTCATCATCTTCTACCAGCACCATGTCATAAGCACTCAGGGCTCCACAGAAGATGATGCAAGTCACACCTTCGAAACAATGAATCCACTTCTTCCTCTCAGACCTCTGGCCACCCACATCGAACATCCTGCGGCCATGTAGAGGAACATGTAAAGGTTTCATTCAAAGCTTTGGTTATTTTTTTCTTTGCTGA